GGAGTGGCCCTGCAGTGAAAACATCGCAAGAGAAGCTCCAAGTGGAATACCAGGCCTACATGCTGGATTTGAGTGGGAAGGGTTGTAGTGATTGGAACCAGGTGGACCTTGTTGACTCAGCGGTTCTTGATTGGGGTTGTTAGCCTGAGCCAATCAGGAAAACCTTGGCTAACCAATGTAATGAGGAGATTAGAATTTCCTCAGTTGAGGGCTAACTCCCAAACTGGCTGGCCACAGCCAGTTTACTGCGCACAATAAAAGGCTGACTTGGTGACAGGAAACAGTCTTTGTGCAGTTATTTCAGTCCAAGTTGTTCTGTATTTGGGCACAGACTGCTTCAGCGTCGGAGGAGGCCTGAATGGTGCTGAATGTTGTGCAATCATCAGTATATATCTGACCTTGTGATGGAGGAGGTCATTGATAAAGCAGCTGAAGATGATTGGACCTAGGACGCTCCCCTAAGGGGCACCTGCAGCGATGTCCTGGAGCTGACGTGTCTGACCTCCAAGAATCACAGATGTCTTCCTTCGTGTTGGATATGACTCCAACCAGCAGTGTTCTCCCCTAATGACTGTAATCTTTGGAGAAGCCACTTGATGTCACAATCAGTCAAATATGGCCTTCATTCACTGCCACCTGACCTCTGCAATTCAGCACTGTTGTCGATGTTCGAACCATGGCTGTGCTGAGTTTCCCTCTCAGAACCCAAACTCCGTGTCAGTGAACAGGTTCTTGCTGAGCAAGTACTGCATAATAACACTACTGATGACCCTTTTTGTCACTTTACTGATGACCGAGAGTAAGTTGACAGGTGTAGTAATTGGCTGAAGTAACTATGGACATATAGGATAAATATGGGCGGCTTGCGAGGCATATGTTCAAGTCGTCAGACAGAGGTTTTAAAAAAAAGAGGTGGATGCAAGTTAGGAGCAAATAAGCTGGGGCAAGTGTAGAATTGGGTAACTTAAGCAGTCTTAAAGATGGCACAAGTCAAGTGTCTAATTGGAAGCTCATTACAGATTTAAATTTGATAACAAAGTTGTGAATCATCTGGTTTAGGTTCAGGCAGTTGCCAGGGAGCAAATGAAATCGATGGCAAGGTAACTGATTTTATACCAGAATGAAAGATAATGGTTTCAGTATTCCATGAATCTAATTGGATCAAATTTCACTATATCCAGTAGGCTCAAATAGTAATCAAGTTCTACTGTAATAAAACAAAGCCAGCTCTGAAATTGAAGTAGGATTTTGCTCCTTTCCAATGTGGTATGACTAACACTATGATTTGATTTTTAATTGTCAGTACAGTAATTGGGAATGTAAAGAGAACGATTGGAGCAAAATAGACCATTTAGCTTCTCATGCCTACCCTGCATTGAATCAGATTACAGCTGATATACTGTACCTCAACATCACTCAGCTAGTCCCACTCGCCCACTCTACATATTTGGATATCCAAACCTAACAAAAATATATCTTTTGTGCCAATATCCCAACAACCCTTTTTTGGCAGGGTTGGGTGGGGGGGTAGGCAGCAGGAACTGGTGAAGTGGGTGGGTAGGAGGGAGAACTGCTGCTTCTGTTTTGGATTTCTGAAATCCTTAAAATTAAAGCTCTGCTCTCACACCCTTTGTCCTTTTTGATCTTGATTGCCCCCACCAGAGAAAGTAGATCCTTTTATTTATCCTATCAACTCAAGACTCAAGTCAACTATTTTAAGCACAAGTTGGGGGTGGGTTTTTGTATTCTACTCCAAGTTGGAGTATCGCTTCAACCGTTCATTGAAAAACTGAAACTGAATATTTAATTTAGAGCTCTGATCTATTTAGAAGAAACTTTACAAAATATACTTAAAATCTGGATATATATGGCATATTGTGGGATGTGCTGTGCAGATTGGGTTATGTTTACTTTCTCTTTCTAGAGTTAATACCTCATTACAATTTCACTTCACACTTTTTGTGGTTTCAACAATCATCACCTTTAATTTGCCTAATGTTTTCTGTACTACCAAACAACAGGGTCTTTTTCTGCTTGTTGATGCTGAATGAATGGTATTATTCTCTGATGGTTAGTTGGGATCAATCAGATCTAAGATTCACTGTTCCAATTAGGCATAGAACACCAAAATGTAGAATTTGAAACTAGAAAAGCTAGCCATTTAGAAGTTCTAACTGATGGGTTAAGTAACTGCAAACAAATTAAGTACTAACTGTCATTGAGTTGAATAATTGCATCAGTGAACAACTGAGATTCTGTTCAGAAGTAGACCGATGAAGTGAGTAATTTTACAGAGAACTGAAAATTCCAGTAAATGATTTGAAAGAAGTGATAAGAATTTTTACTGCCTGGGCGGCACAGTGGCTCAGTGGCTAGTACTGCTGCCTCACAGCGAGAGGGACCCGGGTTTGATTCCAGCCTCAGGTGACTGTCTGTGTGGAGTTTGCACGTTCTCCCCGTGTCTGCGTGGGTTTCCTCCGGGTGCTCTGGTTTCCTCATGCAGGTTAGGTAGATTGGCCATGTTAAATTGCCCCGTAGTGTTCAGGGATGTGTCGATTACGTGGGTTGGATTTGGGAAATGCAGGGTTAGGGGAATGGATCTGGGTGGGATGTTCTTCGGAGGGGCAATATGGACTTGTTGGGCCAAATGGCCTGTTTCCACACTGTAGGGATTCTATATTGGAAACAAAAAAGACTCATTTGATCTATCATGTCTGTTGGTTGTTCACCAATGCGTTCTACTCTGATATCGTTTGGTATTTCTTCAATTTTTTATGTTTGTAAAAACCTTATCATTTGTAAGGTTATAATGTATATAATTGCTTCTTAAATGAGCACTTGGGATAAAGTATCCCCTGTTGTTATAATTTACTTTATTGAAAAAAAATGAATCTAATCTTTTCTTTTGTTCCATTGCTAGGGATCATGGATTTCAATTATGTAGGTTAATTGGAGAAGCTGTCATTGTTCTTGTCGAAGTGAAGGTTGAACGGAGCTTTAATAAGTGATGTTCAAAATATTTAGAGATCTAAGATGGAACAGATGGGAAGAAACTGCTTTCATTGGTGGAGGGGTTGAGATCCAGAATATATTGATTTTGGGTGAAGAGGGAAGGAGCCACAGGCAATATGAGGCACTTACCAGGTTGTTACCTTTTTATCTTTAGATATGGCTAATGATGATCCTAGTATTCATACATTCCGCATTGAACCTGGGCTGATTCTTTGGATTAAATGTATGGTGGAGTGGGGAATATGAGTTTGCAGTTTGTGGTGAAAAGTAGTACTACTGCTGACCCATAATGCATCATGGATGTCCAGTTTTGAGCTCTTAAATTTATTCTGAATCTAACCAATTTAGAAGTGTAATGGTGTTGAACAAAATTATGCCGAATGTCCTCGGTATGAAAACAACATTTTTATCTCTCCATGGATTGCACAGCGCTTGCTTTTATTAAAACTGTCATGGGCAAATATATTTGTGACAGGTTGAATTTGTATGGATGAGGTCAAGTCTGGAATTAAGACTTTAATGACAAACATGAAACAGTTGGCAATTGTGGGGAAAACTCATTTGGTTTATTGATGTTCTTTAGCAAAGGAAATCTGACACGCTAGCCTGGTCTTGCCTATGTGTGGTTCCAGACTGTCAATGGACAGTAAATGCTGACCTAGCTGGCAATGTTCACATCCTCTGATTGAATAAAACAAAGTAGGTTTTACCCTCATGATGTTTTCAGCTGGTACACATCCACTGCATTAGCTATGTTCTTCAGGACACTGCCAGCTCAGTCACTGATGGTACTACTGAGCTACCTTTTGGTGATGGGCATTGATGTCTGTGAGGGTACTGTGGACTGATCTGTATTCAGTTGATCGTTTAAAGTAACAAGGGGTTGGGAAGGAAAAATAGAAATAGGCTCCAAGAATACTTGATTTAGCTGGAGCATTCTTGGCAGAGCGCTCAGAAATCTGTCTTCGTGCTCTGTGTTTATTTTATGATTAATGGATTACAAAGAGAAAGCTTTTCTACGTGTCGTAAGATAAGTAGGGAGCTTTCTTGCAGTACGGTGCACAACCGGAATTTTTCTCGGTTAGATTTGAAATTTTGTACTTGGTGCAATATTTCCAGTAAATTTTAGCTTTGTTTTCTGCAGATACCATCACATCCAAATAACTATCTTCCTTCTGAAAATTCATTTTCAAAGAATAATGTAAACATTTTGCTTAAAACATATCTCGCACTCGTGCTGTCAGCTGCTTTGGAGATAAATTGTAAAACAATATGGTACACTTGTTATAGTGCCTTCGTTTTGCAAGTTCACTTTCAGCAGACTGTAGAAACAGTACAGTAGACCCATCGGGTCTAATTTATTTCCTGATTGAGTTATTTATCAGCATGGATGTAGGACATAAATCACGTCTCTAGATCTTCATAGAATGCTGGTAATCATTTTGCTGAATGAGATAGATAAGCTGCAGTGATGTGTTTTAAGTCCAGTATAAATGTAATGAAATCCTTAACTTCTAAATATCCCACACTCCGTTCTAGTTGATCAATACACTTAGATTTGTATTGATGTGACAAAGGAGTTGGGGATTTTTCCCAAAATGCGCTGTTGAACTTAATATTTCTCTGCATTCTAGTGCAATTTGGCACCCAACTGTCCACTCCAGGAGGCTGGTTCATGTGCTTCTGCAAGTCCTTTATTCTTCACAGTTTACTATGCCCCTAATTTGGTATCAGCAAGCATCAATCTACTGTTTTTGCTTAGTTTAAGTAATTTGTATTGATATTACCACGTATTCTATTGTCCCTTAACATAGAATTATGTTAATTATAATTGACTGTTGCAGCCTGGAGTTGGACATGTGCAGGACTTCAACTGTAATAATGCTTACCTAATTAAATTTTATATAACTGCCGAAAGACTGACCCATTTACTACAATGCCAACCACAAGGAAACTGTGTTTAGTTCAGTACTGTGTGCTTTGTACAGGTACCTGGAGAGTTACGAGAAGTTGCATCATTTTGGTGAGGATGATGAAGTACTTACCCCAACCAATTCTCGACCACAGGGTGTAGCCTCTGGGGTTCATTTATTTTATAATCGGCATCAGCACATCATCCCAGGTAAGTGCCAACAGGAGGAACCTCCAAAAGCTGTAGTAATTAATTGTATGATTTATTTTTGGGGTAGTGGGGGGAGTGAATTATGTAGGCTGTCAATGGTTTGTTTATAAACTGCCCATGTCAGAAGACTGAGCAAATGCCCACATTTAATTGTGCTGCCTCCTAAACCCAGCAGTTCCATAGGGCTGAAGAAGGGCATTTCTGAAGAAGGGTCCAGGCCCGAAATGTCAGCTTTCCTGCTCCTCTGATGCTGCTTGCCCTGCTGTGTTCATCCAGCTCTACACCTTATTATCCCAGTTCCACAGGGCTGATGCATCTGTGCTTTGGCCAGTGTAAATGTGCAAAGTAATTCAATTACAGCATTACTGCAGAGAATATTTGTGGGCATATGTGATGGTATCGCTAACAAAACCGCTACTAGAACAGCTGTCTGCCAGCCTTCAAAAAAAGTAGTGGCAGATGGGAGATTCTGTTAATTTTGAAAAAATTCTCTGGACCATCAATTTATCTTTGCTGATGACTAAGCAAGACTAATGCTGTGAAAACTGGTGGTTGAAGAAATATTAAAAACATCTTTCAGAAGTGTTTTCAGCAAGTCTTTCTGCCATCATAAAATAATACAGTTCAGAAAGTGGCCTTTTAACTCCACATGACAGTGCCAGATTTTGTCACTTTATTGGTCCCATTTATCTTTGCTTTTTCCATAACCCTACAAATAATCTTGTAAGTATTTCTTCAGCTTTCTTTTGAAAGGTGTTATTTAAGCTGCTTCAACTACCCTTTCTCAGCCTATTCCTAATACAAACAATAACTGTATAAATTAAAAAGAACTCTCATTTCCTCTGGTTCTTTTGTTAATTACTTTAAATTTACATCCTCTCGTCAATGCCTCTTCTGTCACTGGAAGCAGCTTCTCCTTATTTATCTATGGAAAACACCTTGAGTCTCTTCGTAGAGATGAAGTTCCAGTGGCATACGTAAATTTGGTCTGAAATCTCAATGTGGTACCCACAGTGCAATGCAGTGGTCAAGCTAGCACTTATGATCTCTGCAAGACACTGTTCTTTTCTTTTATGTTAAACATAAAGGACTCTGACTTTCTTTTTCAGAATAGCCTTCTCTCCTTGCTTTTCCACTCTCTCTAAGATTTGTGCATATACATCCTGGGTTTTTTGGCTTCCACAATACCTTCAAAATTGGACCTATTTTAAATTTAGATTGCCTCCTCTCAATGTATCACCACAATCTACATTAGAACATAGAACCGTACAGGGCCTTTGGCCCACGATGTTGTGCCGACCTATTATCCTACTTAGATCAAACTACCCTGCATACCCAACATTATACTATCATACAAGTGCCTATCCAAGAGTCGCTTAAAAGTCTGTGAAGTATCTGACTCCACTACCACTGCCGGCAGCGCATTCCACACGCCCACCACACACTGTAAAGAATCTACTTCTGACACCTCCCCTATACCTTTTAAAATTATGCCCCTTCGTAATGGTCATTTCTGCCCTGGGAAAAAGTCTCTGGCTGTCCACTCTATCTATGCCTCTCATCATCTTGTACACTTCTATCAAGTCACCTCTCCTCCTCCTTTGCTCCAATGAAAAAAGCCCGAGCTCCCTCAGCCTTTCCTCATAAGACCTGCCCTCCAGTCCAGGCAGCATCCTGGTAAATCTCCTCTGCACCCTCTCTAAAGCTTCCACATCCTTCCTGTAATGAGTTGACCAGAACTGAACACAATAATCCAAGTGTGGTCTAACCAGGGTTTTATAGAGCTGCAGCATAACCTCGTGGCTCTTAAACTCAATCCCCCTGCCAATGAAAGCCAACACACCGCACGCCTTCTTTACAATCCTATCAACTTGGGTAGCAACTTTGAGGGATCTATGGACATGAACTCCAAGATCCCTCTGTTCCTCCACATAGCCAAGAATCCTGCCATTAACCCTGTATTCTGCATTCAAATTCGACCTTCCAAAATGAATCACTTCACACTTTTCTGGGTTGAATTCCATCTGCCACTTCTTTGCCCAGTTCTGCACCCTGTCAATGTCCCATTGCAACCTACAACAGCCCTTCACGCTATCCACAACTCCACCAACCTTTGTGTCATTGGCAAACTTAGTAACACGCCCTTCCACTTCCTCATCCAAGTCATTTATAAAGATCACAAAGAGCTGAGGTCCCAGAACAAATCCCTGCAGAACACCACTGGTCTGTAATTTCCAGGATTATTTCTATTCCCTTTCTTGAACATTTGCCACCATCCAATCATCTGGCACTACTCCAGTGGATAGTGAGGACGCAAAGATCATCGCCAAAGGGGCAGCAATCTCTTCCCTCACTTCCCAAAGCAACCTTGGGTATATCCTGTCTGGCCCAGGGGAATGATCTGTCCTCATGTTTTTCAAAATTTCTAGCACATCCTCCTTCCTAACATCAACCTATTTGATCATATCTGCCTATTTCATGCTGTCCTCACAAACACAAAGATCCCTCTCAGTGGTGAATACTGAAGCAAAGCATTCATTAAGGACTTCCGACTCCACGCACAAGTTCCCTCCACTATTCCTGATTGGCCCTACCCTCACTCTGGCCATCCTCTTGTTCCGCATGTAAGCATAGAACGCCTCGGGGCTTTCCTTGATCCTACCCACCAAGGCTTTTTCATACCCTGTTCTACTCTCCCAAGTCAATTTTTCAGTTCCTTCCTGGCTACCTTGTAGCCCTCTAGTACCCTGTCCGATCCTTGCTTACTCAACCTTAAATAAGCTTCCTTCTTCCTCTTGACTAGATGTTCCACATGTCTTGTCATCCAAGGTTCCTTCAACTTACCATCCCTCCCCTGCCTCAGTGGGACAAACCTATCCAGTACTCGTAGCAACTGCTCCATAAAAAACCTCTGCATTTCTGTCGTGCATTTCCCTGAGAACATCTGATCCCAATTTATGCTGTGCAGTTCTTGCTTAATAGCTTTAATGCCCCCTCCCCCAGTTAAATACTATCCCATACTGCCTGATCCTATCCCTCTCCGTGACTGTAGTAAAGATCAGGGAGTTGTGATCGCTATCACTGAAATGCTCTCCCACCGAGAGATCTGACACCTAGCCTGGTTCGTTGCCAAGTGCCAAATCCAATATGGCCTCCCCTCTAGTCGGCCTATCAATATAGAGTCAGAAATCCTTACTGGACGCACCTGACAAAATCTGCTCCACACTTAGGAAGTTCCAGTCGATATTAGGGAAGTTGAAGTCACCCATGACAACAACCTTATTACTTCTGCACCTTCCACAATCTGCCTCCCAATCTGTTCCTCAGTGTCTCTGTTGCTATTGGGGGATCTATAGAAAACTCCCAATAAAGTTACTGCTCCTTTCCTGTTTCTGACTTCCACCCATACTGACTCAGTAGACAAACCCTCCTCGACGACCTCCCTTTCTGCAGCTGTGATCCCATCCCTGATTAGCAATGCCACTCCCCCAACTCTCTTTACCTCCCTCCTTATTTCTTTTGAAACATCTGTACCCCAGAACATCCAACAACCATTCCTGCCCCTTTTATCCAAGTCTCTGTAATGGCAACAACATTGTAGTTCCAAGTAGTGATCCATGCTCTAAGTTCGTCACCATTATTCCTGACACTTCTATTAAAATAGACACACTTCAGCCCGTCCCTCTGATTGATTGCAACTTTGTCCTATCAACTGTTTATCCTTCCTCTCAGATTTTCTGCATGCTGTATCTGCCTGTACACCGGCTACTCCATTGTCTGATCCCTAGCTCCGGTTCCCATCCCCCTGCCAAGCTCGTTTAAACTCTCCCGAAGACCTCGAGCAACCTCCCACCCAGGGTATCGGTGCAACTCCAGTTCAAGTGCAACCCGTCCTTCCTGTACAGATCCCACCTTCCCCAGAAGGTATCCCAATGATCCACATATCTGAAGTCCTCCCTCCTACACCAGCTCTGTAGCCACGTGTTCAGCTACACTCCCTCTCTATTGCTGGCCTCTCTAGCTCGTGGCACTGGTAGTAAACCTGAGATTACTACTCTGCTCGTCCTGGCATTTAGCTGCCATCCTAACTCCCTATATTCACTTTGCAGGTCCTCATCCCATTTCCTAGCTAAGTCATTGGTACCGATGTGTATCAAAACTTCTGACTGCTCACCCTCCCCCTTAAGAATCCTGTAGACTTGATCCAAGACATCCCTGACCCTGGCACCCAGGAAGCAAAGTACCATCCAGGAGTCTTTTGTCTGTTCCCCTAACCATTGAATCTCCTATCACTATTGCTCTCCTAGTCGCCCCCCTTCCCTCTTTAGCCACAGAGCCAGGCTCCGTGCCAGAGACCTGGCTGCAATGGCTTTCCGCTGGTAGAATGTCTCTCTCTTC